TAAAAAGTGAATTTAGCAAGGCTGCAAAATACTAATCAAATATTATAAATTGATTTCTATACAGTAAGAACAGAAAATAAGATGAAAAAACCTTAATACATTTAAAAAATTAGAAACCTAGGAATAAATCCAATGAAAAATATGCAAGACATCTATACAGAACACTACAAAACAATCAGTATGTGTGTGTGTGTGTGTGTGTGTGTTCATGGAATGGAGGAAATCACAAATGAATGAATTCATACAATGAATTTTGAGGTGACCTTAAATTTGCTCATGGAAAAGTGGGAGACTATGTCCCCTTCCCTTCGGAAGGGCTTATGACTGCTTCAACCAATAAACTACAACAGAAGTGATACTATGTAACTTCAAAGGTGAGATTATAAAAGGTCATGGAGCTTTCTCTATTTTCTCTTTGAACACTTGTCCCCAGCTACTCCCTCTTAGAACTGACCTACCATGTTGTGAGCTCAAGTCACATAGACTATTAATAAGTGCTCTGGTATACAATACTTGTCCGGGTCCCAACATCTGGGCAAAGAATCCTCCTAATGATTTAAGCCCCAGATCCTAACCCCCAGCGGAGGCTCTAAGTATCATGGAATAGATAAGCTATCCCTACTGTGCCCCATCCCAATTCCTTATCCAACATTATTCATGAGCATAATTTAAAAAAAAAAAGGTTTTTCTTTTTTACACTACTTAAGTTTGGGGTGATTTGTCATTCAGCAATAGATGGAACAAAAGATGTCTTCCCCAAAATTGTTCTATAGGTTCAATACAATCCCAATTAAAATCTCAGCAGAAAAAATGGAAAAACTGATCCTGAGATGCATTTGGAATCACAAGGGACACAAGTCAAAACAATATCACAAAAGAACAAATCTGGAAGACCCATACTACCTGATTTCAGAAGTTACTACAAAGCTACAGTTATCAATATAGTATGGTATTAAGGGATGTAGATCAATAGAAGAGTCCAGGAATAAACCTCTATGTTCAGCTGATTTTCAAGGGTACCATGACTATTCAAGAAAGGCTTGCTTACAAGGTTGGCCCTCAGCTGACATCCAAAAACTTAGCTTTTGAAATTTTCTCCATATGATAAGGTTGTATTAGCTGTGCTAATCTGACCAGACTGTTTAAAAAAGCATGTGATTTATGATGAACACCTGCTTTTCTTATGGGAAATCAGAATTTGGTGAGCAAAGGGTGCCGTATGATTTAGCCCCCAGTAAAACCCTGGACATTGAGCTTTTAACAGGCTTCCTTGGGCAGAAATACTGTGCCCATGTTAATGCATTTCACTGTTGGAGTACAATCTGTGTGGGCTCTTTGAGGACTGCATAGGAAGACTGCACATGGGCTCCTCTAGATTCATTCCTCTAGTCATTCCCTCTTCCTGACCGAGTTGTGTATCTTTGCTATGTCACTATAATAAGTCATAGCTAAGTATTACAATATGCTTAGTCTTGTGAATCACATTGACACACTGAATGTGTGGGTGGTTATGGGCTCTAAAAATGAGTGGGTCAGGGGGCACCTGGGTGGCTCAGTGAGTGGAGCATCCAATTCTTGGTTTTGGCTCAGGTTGTGGTCTTAGAGTCCTGGGATTGAGCCCTGCATGGGGCTCTACACTCAGCACAAAGTCTGCTTGAGGTTCTTTCCCTGTCCCTCTGTCCCTCCCACCGACTCATGCTCTTTCTAAAATAAATAAAATCTTTTTTAAAAAAATGAGTGGTTCAGAAGTGCCAACACAAGTGGTGTCACAACTGGCTTCCACAAGATGCATATTAAGGGTTTATTGTATTTCATACACAACTCCTAGTGATTTTTTTGAACTAAAGAGATCTTCACACAAATTATATTGGGAAAGCCTAGCTCAGATTTTATATATTTGTCAGAATAAAAGCAACTTCCTCATGAGTTAAGGCACATCCCTTCCTCTACTAGTAGAACCTAATAGAGTGCTAAAGAAAGCTTTTAAAGAAACATATCTTATTATACAAAAATGGCTCCAATTGTTAATACTTTTTAGGTGAATATTCCCTCCTCCTATTAGTTCAATTCATTTACAATTTAAAATTGTATATTATATATACATATACAATATTCTTATATTTATATATAACAGGATAATGGCAGCAGAAATTTAAATGTAATATAATACAAGTAAGTGATATAAAGCTATTAAGTTGTTATGAATATACTTTTTACATTACAGATTATTTCTACAACCAAAAACAACAGCTGTCCTCAAATTTTTAATTATCATTGTTACTGAAAACCTACTGGTGAAAGTACATCAATTGTTTAAGAAGAGCTTGCCAATGTCAGTACAGAAAGTTATCCATACATAGCAATTTTTACAAGTGAAATTAAATGAATCTTCTCTTATCTGTACAACTATTAGAACAGTAAAAGAGAAATACTATTTAAAAAAATAAGAACTTTCACAAATGACCTGCATTACACTTTAGGTCTAATGAATTGCAATTAAGTCCCTGTTTTAAGGAAAAATATTTTGAAAGTCTTAGTTTATAGATGATAGAGAGATAAAACTGAACTTCTAAAGTTCAGGTTTGTTATTATTATATTGATAATCACTTAAAAGATTTAAACAACTAAAAAGATAAGCAATAAACTGTTCTTTTTGAACAAACCAAATCCAACAATTTGAATACACTGAAGCTCTATTTATATGGTCATGGCTAAAGCATTGATCATTTTCCATGGCTGGTCCTAGTAACAGGACTGATGATTCTATAATAGACTCAAACATCATTTACTGGACTTTGAGTACAACAAATAAACATCATACAATAGTTTCATGACCAAGAATCTCTTTTAATCTGAGAGGAAAATTAATTTCCCCAATCTTTCCCATCTTAAAAATACAGAACTGTGAGAGCAGGATCCTGCAAAAGAGCAGTGGCTAAATCATGTACAAAGATAAACAGATCACTGAGATAAAATAATAAAAGAAATGAAAAACTACATGTGGAACTATTATTTATTTATTTATTTATTTATTTATTTATTTATTTATTTATTATTTATTTATTTAAGATATATAGAGAGAGGCAGATTAATAGGCAGAGAGAGAAGCTGGCTTCCCACAGGGAGCCTGATGCGGGACTTGATCCTGGAACTCCAGGATCACACCCTGAGCTGAAGGCAGAAGCTCAACCACTGAGCCACCCATGTGTCCCACGTGTGGTATTTTCAAGTCTTTTAAAAAGTTACTCTTTTGAATATTAATCCTTAGGACTGCCCTTGTGCTCTGTGTTTGTATATTTCTCATTTAATACTTTATGATTCTTTGCAATTGTTAAGTAGTTGACCCACAAAGTAAATTTTTTATTTTCCCTTAACAGTTTAAGGATGAGGGGGTCGGGGGGCAACTTAAAGCAAAAATTAGTAATTATATATAGTTTACACAGTCAGGTATAAAGTACTTCAGGAATCATATGCAAATATGGGAGATGAGGGTAAGGTTGCCCTTACAACTTGTATCTGATTTACTCTATGTGGCAATTACAGGCGTTCAGAATTCAACTTAAATATGGTTTTAAACTGTGTTGAAACATCCAGGACTTCAAGGGGTACTATCCTAAATCTCCAAAAGACTACCCATTTTCCTCACTTCAAGGGTCTCTAAATTAATGGTAAAAGGTTCCTTGCAGTTGTATAAGACAACTGATATATCCTTGTCAAAATGAAGCGAAAACAACATAACTAAAATGGTGACTTGTCTAGTCACTATGCTACTGTTAAACTCTTAAGGTTTTTATTTAATTACAAGAACTTGTGCTCACTCCTCTGGAGTCTGGTATACAATTCAGATGTAAGCAAAGGCAAACAAGAATTAGGCGAGTTTCAAAACCTTTAATAAAGAAAAAAAAAGACACTTCCAAAAATAAATGCCACACAAATCAAAGTTTTTAAAAAAGTGAAAGATATTCAAGAAACAAAATCCTTTACTATCAAAATATACTAAATATTAAAGTCTAATGAAGTTGAGTGTTCAAATTCTGGGTGAATGTAGCTTATAATCACATACCTAGTAAAGCAGTGTTTTTCATGATATGTTTGTTTCAAGACATTACTTAATATAGTTACTTTTTAAACCTGTATTTTCTTAAACATCAATTTCACAATTCATTTGATTACTTTTACATTCATTTATAAAAACACATTTTCTAACAACGGGTTATTTGTGCTTTAATAATGATCCATGGTAAAATACTTAAGTGATTTAGATGCTTTACTAATGACTACATCCATCACAGATTCTTGTACACTTATACAACTACTGCAATAATCCAAAGAACTACAACTCTTCTTAAAAATGACACTCACTCAAGTTTGGTAACCATGCTAAATAATTAAAAATGTATTTTTTTCCAAGTTAAAACATTAGAACTTTCTAGCTTTCTTTAAAATCTGCAAAGATTACTTATTTATTTAAATCACTTTTAACTGAAAATTTATAAAAACAGAAGAAAGCATCATTTTAGAATTTTCTTTATAACATCTATAGTAAAAAATGGATGTTCTCTTTCAAACTGTGATGGCACTACACTACTATTTTAAAAATTCTAGATTTTAAAATGTTAAGAAATACAATGTCCGTTCCATCTAGAGGGCACTTTAATGAATTAAACTAATTATTTTTCAGGTCTATTCCTTCTTCAATGTGAGTGACACTGCCTTACACTCATCAGAGTACTTTAGTAAATAATCCATTTAAAATGTGATCTAAGACAAACCAACTTATTCTAAATTCTCTTCTATAACAAGGTATTGATGTGTATCATCTAGACTGATACTATAATAAACAGATACAAACCTAAAGCAATAAATTTATATAATTAATGGCAATGAATGCCAAATACAACAGATCTCATTCTCACAACTTGGAATTAATTTTCATGCAAAATTTTATAGTTTTGATCCTTACTTATAGATAATTTATTTCTTTAAGTAATCAAGACAAATAGTAGAAAAAGCATTTTATTTATATGGAAAAAGCTACATTAATATCTGTAAAAGGTGTCAATATATTGCCTATACAGAAAAAAATTCAAATGTGAATAGCAACAAATAAAAGTTACACATCTTCCTACGTAGCAGTGCAATTAATTCACATTGCAATAAAGTTAAGTCAAGTATAACAAAATCAAAACAAGTGTTTCTCCATAATCAGGATACCGAGAATTACAGTGTAAAGATCCTTTCAGGTTTAAGAAATCTGTAATCAATCTACAGAATACCCTAAGACAAGGGAGACAGACAGTTAATTCATTTAATTACCAGCTGTTGGGTTTTTTCAATACTGTTCACAGGGAAAAGGTAATGAGTTGACATACATGTAAATAGAATATATTTAGTCTATACAGTAAAAAAATACAAATTATAAAGTGAGCTAACAAAGAATGAAATCTGAATACAGATTTATAAAACTGATGACATCTTAGACAACACGTACAGTATTTCTCATGTAAAAACATCTAGTTTCAGCAAAAAATAATTTGGTTGTTTTTCAGATGCATTGCAGATCTTGTAAGCTGAAGATGCAGATGTCCACGTATCTTAAAAACCATAATAAATGTCTTTCTTAATGCATACAAAATGACAAATGCTCTCATCACAGTCTTAAGGGTATTTTTGGAAGTTTGTTTTGTCTTGCTTCAGAAATACATGTAAAGTGGGTAAAATTCAAAGGATTTCATGGTACAATGAAACAGTAAACAGTGCTCAATTTACTGCTAATGTTGAAAAAAACCTAGATTTTACAGTACTCTGGTATATATGAAAAATTTTTTTTGATTTTACATTGCATATTTCTGAGTCCATTCTCTTGCATGTCTGTTGTATCTGTAGGCATACAAAAGAGATATAGTAAAAACATGCAAACTGAATCTTTTAGAAGCCCTATTTATATAAAACTGTATATTTTACCTTTTTACACTTAATTGCAATACTCATTCATATGCCAATTATTGGCTCAATATTGATGACTTAGGTTCATACATTATAAATAAAACAGAAAACAAGTAATTTTTAACTGATGGATTTCTCTACAACCAATATAAAAATAAGCCTAAATTATAAACAACAAAATGAGGAAATCAATTTCTAACATAAATCTATAAAAGCCAACCCTGAATGGGCACTGTCTGTAAACTGCAAATGAATCAAAAGTACCAGCAAGATGAAGCAGCTTGAAAATTAGGTCAGTTTGGAGGGGGTTAGGGATAACTTCTCTTCCTGGGAGAAGATAAGGAATACAATATTCAATGCTTTCCCATTATCAAATTATTTTAAATTTACCACCTAGAACTATATATAGTTCTTTCCTATCAATAAAGTCATATTGTGCAAATACAAGATGTACTATTAAATAGTAAAGGATTAAACAATATTTGGGAAGGAATAATATCTTTTGTAAAAAGACTAATAAAGTTTAAAATGAAAGATTTCTTCCATTGGAAAGATAAACAAACTTAGTATAAAAAACACAATTAATTGTACTTAAATGTATTGATAATACTTCTATTTTGGCAGACTACACAGAAATACACCCAGGCAGAAACTTAAGTAAACACTTACTTTTCTTTGTCTGATTTATAGATTTGTGCAATATCTGGTACTAAGGGGTCATCTGGATTAGGATCACAAAGTAGAGAACATATGGACAATAAAACTAGATTGAAAAGAGAACATATTAGATAATGATCTATTTTGCACAATTACATATATGAAAATGATTTGACTGAATATAGACAATGAACTTATAAAGAAAACAAAACAAAGTAACATGCTAAATTACATTGTAGACTAACTTTACTTAGAAACAAATATTTTTTATTTTAAATTAAAAATTATAAAACTAGCATGTAGGGTATATAATACAAAATTACCATAATTTTTGATGTTTTAAACTCGGATGAATTTCTACTTATTTAAAAAATATCCATCTTTATAGTAACTATAAACTATAAACATTTAATCTCAAGAGGTCTCTACAAAAATAATTTTAGGTAACATATATAGCTAATCAAAACATTTTAAAAACAGTATCCTAATTTTAGATATTTCTTAGAGATATTTCTGAACTTTAATGAGGAAACTGTCCACTTTTTATTTTATTATAATTCAGAAAATCTATGTTCTAATCAATTCAAAATAAGGAAAGCAAATTATAGTTAACAGTCCAAACCATTTTAGATTCATGTTTATGTGCTTTTTACTTTAGTTTAGTGCTATAGTTTGCCTACAAAGAAAGATTTGTCAGATTTTTTCAATAAATCTTTTATTCCATGTACATTATCTGTATCACACTCATTTAATAATGTGAACAATTATCAATTTAACATTTTTAAATAGAAATGAAAACTGAAAAAGTAGTTGTATCTTGCCACATCAAAATACTATTTCAAATACCTACATTTTAAAAAACAATCTAAAGTATCTGAAGAAGTAAGGAACAAGGACTCTGGTTCCTCACTGATGTTTCAACTGCATGCCACCACTTCTGAGGGGGTATGAGGAGTCTTTGGAAGAACATTTTATCTTCACCTTCCTCTACTATGTTTCTTTATCTTTTCCTACTCTTACAAATCCACAAGTGAATTTATAAAGCAGAGTTAATTCTTAAATGACACATGTGAAAGGGGGCTGCTAAGGGCTAATAAGAAAATTAATATTTTCTTCCTTATCTTTCATCTACCCACTAAAATTTTAAACCTTGTATATAATATTAAACCAATAGGGTAGATTATCTTAGCTCACATTTCCAGAGTTTCTAGACTAAACTCATGATAAAAAAGCAAAATAAGACTTAAAATATAAAAAAGTAAAAAATGTACAAATAAGCAAAGTATAGCTACCTTATGAATTAGCAAGAGGGAAATTCCTCATTTCTCATTCTTGCTGCCAAGAGCCACATGCCCTGATTTCACTATCATATACACAAATCAAATGTTTTAAGATAGAGAAAAAGGTATTAATAGTTGACATTCTTGAGTGCCTTCTATGTGCCAGATGCATAGCGACCTTAGGTGGTAATACTCTTATAATCCTCATTTTACATATGAGGAAACTGAGGCTCCTTGAAATTCTTCAAGGACAGTTTCCAGGAGCCAAGAATATTAACTAATATTTATAAAAAGTTTCCAATGTTAGAAGATAAGTGCTCAACATCTGGCAATGTGCCATTTCTTTTATAAGTACTTAACCACTTATGCCAAATGACTTACATTTGTGATACCATTCCAGGAAAGAGTATATTGAGTAACCTTTTGACACAAACTTTCTTACATCTAGTGCATAGCAGTTATACTATGTGAAAGCTTTTTAAAATGACACCAGAATCAACATGAACATTTTATACAAACATTTTGGTCAGAAAAACTGCCACTCATAATAACTAGCTGACAAGAAGGGCTACTCCTTACCTAATACTTAAAATATTTCTGTGGACTCTGCTTCCTATTAACCTAAACACCTTTTTTAAAAAATATTTTATTTATTTGAAAGAGAGAGAGAATGAATGATGAGGAGAGAGAGGGAGACTCCCTGCTGAACAGGGGAGTCTGATGCAGGCTGGATCCCAGGACCCAGAGATCATGACCTGAGCTGCAGAAAGATGCTTACCTGACTGAGCCACCCAGGCACCCCTAAACCTAATTACTTTTAAGTTAAACATTAAGGTAGCATTTATTAAAGCGATTTTTAAAATGAGCATAGACTCACTCCTCCCTTTAATCCTTCAAGAGAAATAATTTTCTTAAATTCTAGAACAAGGGAAAACTACCAAATTAAATTACTTCAGCAGATGCTTCTAACTCAAAACAGTATTTTCCAATGGTCGGTTCTCTTCTATTAGAGAAAAAAGACATGAATTAAGAGAACTGGCACAGTATATAGTATTGGCTAATAACAAAAAGGCTTCCGAAGGTCTATGTACACATTTGATAATTTAACAAGGAAAAGCTATATATCTGTGAAAGCTGAGAATCCATGAAGGAGGGGCAAGATGGCGGAAGAGTAGGGTCCCCAAACCACCTGTCCCCAAAAAATTACCTAGATAACCTTCAAATCATCCTGAAAATCTATGAATTCGGCCTGAGATTTAAAGAGAGACCAGCTAGAATGCTACAGTGAGAAGAGTTCGCGCTTCTATCAAGGTAGGAAGACGGAAAAAAAAAAAGCTGAGAATCCACATGGATCATCAGTCATGAAAATAATGCTATTGGTTACCATAAGTTTAGACTAACATGCTAAATGTCCTGCGTTATTCTAAAGTGAAACATGTCTCTCATTTTAAATCATTTATCAGTCTAATCTGGTATTTTTTCTTAGATGATGTAAAAGAAGTATAACTTTATTCATTACATCAAAAATCCCATTTAATAAATGGGACAGATGGTCCTAAAATCTTATTTATACCCTATCTCTCTCTTTAAAGCCCAAACTAAAGGAGTAAAATGTCAACAGGCTTATCCAAATATCTAGCTCTAACATATTTAAAATTTCTCTCATTTTATCATTACGATTTGCCCATTAATCATGCCAAGTTAACTGCTAAAAGCAAAAGAGTAAAAGAAGAGCTATGAAAGTAAAGCAAAATCAAAGCAGGAAAAAACACAGTAGATTGGTTTTTTTTTTTAAACTTTAGTCCCTAGATACCTCTGCTGTATTTTTCCTGTCTCACTGTTATCAACTGTTATAAATCTGATAAATGAAATTACCTTTTGATACAGTCAGAGCTGGTGACCATTGTGACCTCAGGATATCAAGACAAATACTTCCATTACTGTTTATGTTTGGATGGTAAATTTTTGTTGTGAAAGCAATCTAAAAAACAAAACAAAAAAAATGTGACAATCCATGAACTATAGACAAAACAGAACAAAACTGTGCTAGAGCAAAATGTCCTCAATTTTATATAACCTTAGGGGAGAAATGTATTCAACAAGAAACTGAGCATCTACTTCGTGCACACAGTTTTAACTACTGGGAGTGTAAAAGCAAATAAAGTCAGTTTTCCCTTTCCTCTCAGGAACTGAGAAGTATTTTGGAAGATAATAAATAAAACTCTTATAGCTGATATGACTGGCTGAGTAGTACCTGAAGTAATTAATCATGGCTTTCATCATCTCTCAAAGTAATCCTTTTCTTAATTTATCATTGATACATGCAAGTGACACTTGGATCTAAAATTAGGGTGCTGACCTTGGTCCACAAGAAAGCTGAGGGGCTGTTACCTATCCTAAGGAGTCTGACAAGAATTCTAATCAACAAGAAGTTGTTATTTGGTTCATATATATAATATTAATCAGGTGTTTTTAAAAATCAGAAATAATTATTCTGAGTGACAGAATTTGTTAACAAATTTCTCCCTCTTTGATGTCACCATCACTTATTTCCTCTTCAGATCTAGTTTATATTTAATAAGAACACATTTTTATTTTTCCTACCCCACTTAACAAAAAGACTGTACCATATTTATTTTTTAATCCTCATTATAATAGAACATTGGAGATGCTCAATAAATTTTTGAATTAAGAACTTAAGAACTGAGAAATAGGGTCAACTTTGGAAAGATAATCTCCTGAATAGAAAAGTATGATTCTTGACCATAAAAAATTTCCCAAACTACATATATTTTAATAAGGAGGGGGAAAAAAAGGTAAGAAAGCTAATTTATAGTATAACAGATACTGCCTTTTATTTTATAGATATAGTCCAATATTTGAGTAAGAAAGCATATTTTAAATTCAGTTATTTTACAAAATAGTTTCAACATGCTAATCTACCCATGTGTTTGACATGATGTGTTTGACATCATGTACATATCTTGGAGTAACGAGTAAGATCCCTGGCAAAGGAGGCACATCAATCATAAAAATTAAAGTACCTTTGGTGGCTTAAAAGGATAGTCTGTTGGAAAATGTACAGTGAGAAAGAAGACTCCACCTTGATAGGCGCTATCAGGCTGAAATTACAAATATTTGCATCAGTAATTATTGTATTTTTCAGTAACCTGAGATATGATATCCCCCTAAATAGATTTGAAAAAAAAAATGCCATCATTCTGTCCCAAGTTCAAATCATTTACCTTGAAAATAGGTTTCCCTTAGCAGATATGAAGGAAGACTCTTCAACAATCATGACAACATCAAAGTTAAACACAAAAATAGGACCCACACAGTAGTGTGACTTAAACAGATCTTTTTATGGGTCTAGAGTTTAATAGACTGGTATACACTAAGATTGCTTTGAGAAAATAATTTTCTGCAGCAGTAATTGGTATGGGAAAAAGGGGTGGGGCTAGTATTCTTATTTACAAAACAAGATCTGATGGTCTTTTAAAAAAAAAGATTTACTTATTGATTTTAGAGAGAATGTAAGCTGGGAGAGGGGCAGAGAGGGAGAGATCTTGAGCAGACTCCCCACTGAGCAGGGAGCCTGACGCGGGGCTTGATCCCATGACCCTGAGATCATGACCTGAGCTGGAATCAAGAGTTGGGCACTTAACTGAGCCACCCAGGCACCCCTGAGTGTCCATTAAGGGGCAAGAATAGAGATGAACTAAAAAGACCAAGTTACAAAAAGGAAAGGCTCCGTGACACACAATTCAGATCTCCAATCTTCACTTAGTAACGGTTTATAATGTGGAAAACGCAAAAAAAGCTAAAAATAAACCTAGATAAATTCAATATTCATTTAACCAAATTAGGAGTCAACTTTACAAGAGGAATTTAAATATGGCCATGTTTCTTTATGGCAGTTAGAAAATACATTTAATGCTACAAGCAAGAAAAAAATGATAAAGAAAAAAGGCAGCAAAATACCTAAAATTCTATTTTAATTCCTTTATACACACACACACATATATACATACCCACATATATTCCTTTATATATATATTAAAGATTTTATATATTTGAGAGAAAGTAAGAGAGCGCACGCATGCACAAGGAGGTGGAGGGGCAGAGGGACAAGCAGACTACTCCCCACTGAGCAGGGAACCAGATGCAGGGCTCAGTCCCAGGACCCTAAGATCATGAGCTAAGCCAAAGTCAGGTGCTTAACCAACTTGGAGCCACCCAGGTGCCCTTCCTTTATACTTAATTAAATTTATCATGTTATATTACCATTTTGGTAATACTAGCAAGACTATCAATACTTCTTCGAGTTTCTGCATATACATTAGAGGATTGTACTGGATAATTATCTTACTATATATAGTTTAATTCCAGTTCATCAAAAATTATAAGGAATGTAGAAAATATAAGTAAATTCAAATGATATTATAGAGTGGCATGTTTAGATTACTAAAATAAAGGGGTATGAGTAACATAATTATAACCATTTGCTACAGGTGATTCACCTAAGAAATATCTGTGAAGGGCTATAATTCAAATGGCAAGGGTGGGCCTTTAAATAGTAGTATTTTGAAGGTTCTTAGTAAGCAATGAAAAACAAATAACTAGATTCTTAAAGTTGTTATTTAAATAAATATGTTGCATTTACCCTTTAAAAAACTAACAATGTAACAGTTTATAATTTCAGACATCTGCCCAGGACTCCTATTTTGAAAATTCAGTACTTATTGTCTTTTAAAATGAAACACAAGGCAAAATGATTTAAACTTCTATGAGTAACTAGATAAAGTTCTTTCAGGGGAGGCAGGAGAGAATGGCGTTGATGGAAACATGTTACTAGTATACTCTCACCCAGAAAGTAGTCAATGCCCATTCTTTTGCAATCAGATTTTTGTGCACAGAAAGAAAAGCCTGTTTCAAGTCATAACTGTCTCTTAGGTATAGAAAGAAACAATCTTAACAAGGGAGTAAGTGTTATTAAGTAAAGCCAGTCACAAAATAGGTAATTTTGAGTTCAGTACAATACAACGAAACTAAAAACAACAAATTCACGAGTTGGCAAAGACAGATGCATTGAAATTATCTCACCAATTCTCTTTCATACATAGGAACAGTGAAAACAGTTATTGCAAACTGGTGCTTGTTACTTGCAGGTATTCCATTACTGAGTTAATTATTTCTAACCTACTAAAATTGTTTTGCTTTTTTTACTAAAATTGTTGATATGAGAATAACTATGCTTAATTTTGAACGACTGACTTTTGTGTTTAAAAACAGATCAAGCAAATGTATAGCCTGGTTGCATATTGTGGGTGATCGATCCATGACTATTTGTAATAATCAAGGATTTGCCAAAGGAAAACATCAAAGTGATGTATTTGCCACCAGTGCTCTAGAAAATCATCATAAATCCTTTAATCATATTTTGCTTCCTGGGTGATTCAGAGTACAAGAAAACTCAACCTTAGCCACAAACATCTGATCAAAGGTGAAACAACAAAAATGAAGTATGGCTTCGGGAATTAATTTCATATATATGAATCATACTTACAGGTCCCATAATAGTTGCTTGCCAGTGGAACACTGAAACAAACAAAGGAGTTTTGCAGTCATTAACAAATGTTCAAACCTATATTATTAATGATAGCAAAATCCTAGCAAGAGAGCAAAGCTTACAGTCATCTCCCACAGGTCCAGCTGAACAATGAGCAGGTGGGTCCCGTTGTAGATCACTTAATTCCTGAAGCAAAGCAAAAATACTTCAGGTTAATCATTTTTCCAGTGAAACAAACATAAAAGTCTATGAAGACATAAATTATTTAAAATAATTTTAGGCAGTTCTATTCAAAATATGAAAACAGAAAATGTACTCTGTTACTGATTGGTAGAAGAGTATGGCAAGTATTAAATTCCTTCCTGAGAGATCTCCAAACCCTAAAATATTAAATGGATTAAAATATTGTTTTTCTCTAATATCCCCTAAGACAAAAATATTTAGTAAGTATCTACTGTATGCAAGGTAATTTATAGAATTGCTATATAAGAACTGCTATAAGAATGCTATACTATACCATAAGAATAGAAAAAGAACTTCAAACGTTTACAATCTAATTTCGGAGTGATGACTCACAGAGAAGTGGATATTGAAAGAACAACCTACCTGAAGGTTAAATAGAAAGAAAGGAGATAAGTCAGGCCATCTTTGGAAGCATAGCACATTGATTCATATGCTTTCTTCTGCTCTCAAGGAAGCAAAGGAAGGATCAGGGAAATGACACAGTTTGGAGCCAGTCCTGGGTTGGCATTCTAGTTCTACCATAACTAGCATCACGAGCCTGGGGGAAATCACTCAATTTCCTTATCTTCACCCCAAATATGAAAGGTATAATAAATTCAATATAAAAGATCATACATTAGGAGTGAAGTACCTACTTTAGTTTGGAAGATCATTTGAGGCAGTGGCATCTAAATCAAAAAGTAAAGGAGTGGGAGTTCATTTTGGGAGATATGAGTGACACTGTTAAGTAGACTAAAAAATAAGATGAGACTAAAAAAGTAGGCAGAGGCCAGGCAGAGAACTGAGAACAATACACATCATACTAAAGAATGGAGGTTTTAGGAAGCAGTATGATCTGATTTAAAAGATAGCTGTCTGGCCTTTGTATTGAATGGATAAGAGATGAGAAAGAGGAGAAGCTATTAGTTACTAAAGGAGAGAAAAATGAGGGCTTGATGTAGAGAAGCAGCATGAAATAAAGGTGGACAGAAATATTTTGAAGGGCCAACTTCTCACAGGATTTGATGATGAATTACATGTACACAGGTAAGGAGAGAGGTCACAGCCATGTATCATGAAGATTAGTGGCAGCTAACATTTACTCCTTGTTTTATTGTCCTAACCATCCTCAGAGACAGGTGTTATCATGCTCCCCATTTTACAGATGAAGACAAGGCATCACACTTCACTGTATGCTCACAAAACTAGTATAGGGTGGAAGCAGGATTCACACCTTGGTAGTCAGACTCATAACCTTTTTAGCTTACAAATGTACAAATGTGGATTCCATTTAGAAATGGGAGAATACTAAAAAGACAAGTTTGTTTGGAAAGGAGACATTTTGAATTGGTGATCCCTGCGGTGTCAAAGGAGAATTTAGTTCAGCATGTAGGTCTGGGGCTTAAAAGAGGACTAGACTGAAATTGGAAAATCATTATGTATACCAGGCATTTAAACCTGTTGGAATGATAAAACTTTTCATGGGAACACATGTAAACTCTATTTCATCCAATCTAAGATGCTAACAACCATAAATGACATCCTTATTTTTTGTATCAGTAATTAAGGAGAAAAGCTATCAATTAATTATAAGACTATATCAATTATAAGATGCTATCTAGATTTTAGAAATGTTTAAATAAAAAATATAAGCACCTTAGAACCCTTACAATATGGTATTACAACGAGTTCAATGTTCTAAGAGAAATAAGGAAAAGGATGGCTAACAGTGTTCTAAAAGAAATAAGGAAAGGCTTTCCTAAGAAATTCCTAAGCTTAAAAACTGAGCCAAGTGCAGACTCTGGTCTAGTTCTTTCAAATCTTCTCCAGTATATCTTGGTCTGTTCATTTCTGTTTTTGTTGCTGTTATCTTCACAACTGGTGCTGTACCCTTCTTCCTGATGAGAATTAACTAGCAAAGTTAGCAGTTTCTTTGGTCCAGGTGCAGTTAAACAATAAGAGGGAGATTTCAATCCTCAACTTAGTGATAATGGTTAGATTAAAAAGCAAGGCTCTGAACTTCAAATTCAGGTGCCATACTCACTTGCCACATGATCTTGGGCAAAACATTATTTTCCCCTCTCCAAACCTTAGTTTTCTGTAACGTAAAGTGGCATTACTACTTTTATCCATAGTTTCTATAACAGCCAAGAGAAATGATACATGTGAAAAACCGCAATCTCTGACATGTAGTAAGTATTCAAGTAAATGTTAATATGGAATGGATAACAACCAGCCAATTCTCCAGTAGCAGAATGCAACTATTTAACCAGTTTAAATACCTGGGGGAGGAGTGTTCCCAAGTCACAGACCCATTTTAGATGACTGTGCTTTATTTAATAGTTTTCTAATCTGGGCTTTTAGGAGATTGCTTCTGAAAATATTAATCATGTTGAGTTTTCTAAACATTAGTGTAAATGGGTAAATGGGACTACTTTGCCCTTACTTTATGCAGAAAACTAGTTATTTTGAAAATGAGTTTCTGTAGTTAAAAAAATGAAGTTATTTGCATGGATATATTTTTACAGAGATACTATATATGTGAATAAGTCCTACCTATAAATACACACATATTTTATATACTAACAAAAAGCCCAAAATTATACTTTATTTGTAATATTATGTTCAAATTTCAAATGTTAGACTGTTCTTCAAATCCCTTTAAAATAATACAGAAACGTCAAGGTTATCTTGTTGTTTTATTTTTGTGCCCTGATTCTTTTTTTCATTTTTAAAGATTTTATTTCTTTATTTGACAGAATGAGAGCACAAGCAGGGGGAAGGGCAGGCAGAGGGAGGGAGAAGCAGGCACCTTGCTAAGCAGGGAGCCTCACAGGGGGCTCCATCCCAGGACCCTGGGATCATGACCTGAGCCAAAGGGACCCCTTTGTGCCCTGATACTTTGTGCCCTGATACTCAGTAACTGACTGAGCCACCCAGGGACCCCTTTGTGCCCTGATACTTCCTCCTCTGCTAGGAGCAGTTTGAACTCAGGACAAGAGAAAAATCTCACAACTGAACTGCAAAGGTCAGGTTCTTAAGTTGTTTATTTAAAGCTCACTTATTATAGGAAAGAGGAAGCTGAACAGTACATCAAACATTCTTAATAGTGAGACTGATCATTACTCATGAATAGTGACATTAATGCTTAGGTGAAGATTTACACATCCTAGACTTTTTAGGGGTCTAAATCTCTAATGTTCTATCCCTTTCTCAAACCATGTATCTAGAAATATGCCCTGTTATATTTGGAAATATGTAACTAAACCTATGGTACATCGGTGCAGACAGAATGACCAACTGAAAACAAAAGGCTCAATATATACCCTCCTTCATCCACAAAAATAGATCTTAAAATTGAAAAAAGAAAAATGAGGAATTCTGAGATGTGCTAAGAGGGTGAAAATATATAGCAAACAAAACTACAATTAACCAAAAAACCCCCACCCTTTTGCTCTTAGCCTATTTGGCAGCCAGTATACTTTTAGGTTAAGACACAAAAAACCAAGAACTACTTATACTGGTTAAATTCCAATTTAGTTTACTCCAAGATTCTCAGAAACAGTCTTAGAATTTGATTCATGGTTTTTCTGCTTTAAATAGCATTCTTATTTGCCTATTTCTATCACCATAGCCACATATGGAGTATTAAAAATAATTTTAGTGAGTCCTATGTTATTTCAAGCGGAAATTCTAGGAATAGTCATCTCTTCCTTTGCTCCTCTCTCCACTATCTATGTAAGAATTAACACTGAATTATACCAACTGCTCAAATCAGTCAGGTCCTTACCTAAGAGCCAAAGATTAAGTTCCGTTTACTCTGACCCTGGCTTTCACTTCCTCCTACTCCACCAACTACTTTGAAATCTAGGATGCACTCCATAGGTAGCCTCCCAAGAACTGTTTCATTAGCCCCTCATCTAGGCCTCTTCATGGCCTTGCTTTTACCTCGTGCTATTTAAAAGTAAAAAGTCTCAAAGACAAAGCATTTAAAACCATTTATTTTTAATTAAGAGGTATATGTGTATGTGTGTTTGTGTTACAAAAGTAAAACAAAGTAGTGCTTTGTAAAGAAAAAAAAAACCAGAGTAACGCATAAATAGTCAAACACCCACAGGAATTGTGGTTACCAAAACCAAACCATTGTTTAACATTAGAATACTTCATCCACAGCTTTGGAGGAAAATGAACATGTCATTCACTGTTGGAGGGAGTGTTAAGACACATCCTTTTGGCAATTTGGTAATAACTGTGAATGTGAAAAACACATATGGTCTCTGACCCAGTAATTTCACCTCATAGTAATAACTGTCCAAATACCCAAAAATACATGTATCAGGATTCTCAGTGAGGCAGTTTACTTAACTATGAAAAACCAAGGATAACTTAAAGCTCCATTAATAAGAGAATGGTTTCATGATACAGCCACATGATGAAACACTGTGCAGCCATTGAAAAGAATGAACTAGATCTGTATATGCTACATTAAAAGATGTTGTGTGCCTATAAAAGTTTTTGAGTTAAAAATTCAAGTTACAGAAGGGTATGCCCATTAGGTCCCATAACATATACACATACTATACATGCATACAAAATAAATAAAAGGATACACACCAAACTATTAGCTATAGCTATTTCTGGGAATGAGTTGTCACTTTTCATTCATGTCTTCTATATTATTTCAACTTTTTAATAATACTTATAACTTTTTAAAGAAAAAATAGTGATTTTTTTTTACTCAGGTTCTTAGACATTTTTAAAAACTGAACTAACACTGGTATTTTTCATTATACCTATAATAAGTATCTTCTCTTGTCACTAAATAATTTTTATAAGACAAGGAAAGATTGAGGAAATGTCACAGATTAAAGAATATATATACTAAGACATACCAATTAAATTCAATGTAAGATCCCAGACTGGATCCTCAAACAAGAAAAGGACAGTTGAAAAACTGGTAAAAT